AAAAGGGCCCGGGTGAGAGAAAAGCCCACCCGGGGCCAGGAGCCCACTGGGGTCCTTCCCCGGTGCCCTTCGTGTTGCTGCCACGACGTGGTGTCCCTCCCTGGGTGGGCACCCACCTGTGTCCGTCTTGATGCCTCTTTGTGCCTTTGCCTGGGCGCCCTCTCCCCCTGCCCCGGGACTGGCAGGTACCCGAGTGCCTCCCTGGGCACCCACCCGTGTCCCCGTGGGGCCCTGGGCTGCCCGAGCCCCGAAGGTGAGCAGGTCCCGGTCTGCTGAGGGATTTATACAGCTCCCCCCGCCAGCAGCCCGTCTGCTTGAAGCCCTTCTTGTTGGGATTCGGTAAGAATAATCCGAAGCTGCTCTGGGTCCCCTGGCAAGAGGAGCTCAGCCCTGTGTCTGTGGGGTTTTAGCCCTTCCCTCCCCACGAGCGTGTCTGGGGCTCAGCACGAACTGGGCGGTTCGGGCTTGTCCTCCCGGGCACACACAGCCTGGCGCTATCAGCCCCGAGAGGGGATGGTTTGTTTGCCGCTGTGCTGAGATAAGGAGCGGTGACGTGCCCCTGAACTTAAAGAGAATGACCTGGATGTTACTCCCTGGCCGCGGTGTTTTGTTCTTGGCGATCCAGTATCTGCCCCGGCCACCCCGGGGGTCACGGTGAGAAGGTGTCGGGGTCCCATCACCGCAGCCCCCGTGGCACCGTCCTGCCTGGGGTTTCTCAGACCCGAAGAGCTGCACTTTGGAACAAGCAGCAGCCAAAGCGTCGAGCGTTCATCTCCGGAGCCTCCGTCTGCTGGATGCAGCCTCAGGAGGACTCGTTTTCCTCCGCCTGCACCGAGGTGTGGGACCCCCCCAGAACTGCGCAGCAGGACCCAGACCCCCTGCTCACCGCTTTTCCCTTCTCGCTTCCCTTGCAGAGCACTACAAACACCACTGGTTTCCTGAGAAACCCTTCAAAGGCTCTGGGTATCGCTGCATCCGGATCAATCACAAAATGGACCCCATTATCAGCAAGGCAGCTAGCCAGATCGGACTGAGCCTCCCGCAGCTCTACCAGCTCCTGCCCAGCGAGCTCACGCTCTGGGTGGACCCCTACGAGGTCTCGTACCGCATCGGTGAGGACGGCTCCATCTGTGTCTTGTACGAAGCGACCGCGACGAAACCCGTGAGCTCCTATGGGATGCTGACCTGTAAGAACCAGCTGATGTTAGGCCGTACCAGCCCTTCCAAAAACTACATCATGACTGTCTCCAGCTAAAATACTCCTCTTGTCCTTACACTGCCAAGACACAGGCTACTGTATACCTCACCTGAGGATCTATTTTTAAGATGAAGAGCTATTTATATTTTTTAAAAAAATCCAAGAAAATCCAAAATTAAAATATTGGGCACCGCTTTGAACAGAAGTGGTGTTTAGGTGCCTTTTTAAAGCTGTTGCAAGCTTACGAATTTTTATTATGAAGCCGATATCTACCTAATTAGTGTTGGATGGCAATTTTGGGCTGGCTTGCTCACTTGGGCAGCTTGGAATGGAGGACGAGGGGGAAGAGCCAGGCTGGGAAGTGTGGCTTGGTGGAGGGAGATGTCTGTCACCTTCTCACCATCCTGGTACCCAACAGTATTGCTGTACCTCCAGGTATTGCAGTACTGTTGAAGAAGGGATGAAGGAGTTGCTGTCTTTCCTCCAACTTCTTCACTCCCCAGCTGCTCTGATCTCTCTGGGGCCTGGATATAGTGTTTGGGGGAGCCTTGCCGCAAGGCTGGGTGGTGCTGGGGACCCTGGGATCCCTATCCTTTGCTCTTGCACATCTCCTCTGGACCCACTTACTCCGTGAGTGTTGCAGCTCTGCTCTGCCCCACTCCCAGCGCAAAGCGAGGGGGGGCATGGCCTGTCTCCAACCCCTCCATCTGTCCTGGCTGCTGCTGGACTGAAAGGGGCCACACAGCTGTTGGTGACCTGTGGGGCAAGGCAGAGATGCTCGGGGAGGGGTTAAGCTGTGCAGAGAAGGTCCCCAGGATGAATATGGCAGGTGCTGTGGTGACACTGGAGTTTGTTCCTGGTGCTCCCCAGTACCTGGCTATCCCCCACTGCACACTGAGAAGGGGACTCCAGACCCTGAAACCAGCACTGAACAGCTGTGAATTACAAAGCCTTTCTGTTCTGTGTGGCTTAGACATCAGCCCTGCTCTTGTCTGGCCTCTTGCTTACAAAAATTGCCTAATCCAATGCTGATGACTTGCCGTGTCACTTCTCCAGAAGAGCTGAAGCAACTTGCCTTGTGCCGTAGAGGTGTGTGAGAACCCCATTTGTCCTGTCTCTTAAAATCAGAAGTATTGGGGTTCTCTTCCCCCTGTGTGTGGGATGCTCAGATGCTTTGGTGTCCTAACGTTGCTTTTAAAGTCACAGCACTTCTTCCCTCTCTTCCACGTGGCTGTCCCTGGGAGCTGTCTCTGCTGATACCTTGGTAAGGGGCATCATTTGGTTTTGATCTCTTGGTACATAACTATTTTGCACAATTAATGCCTGGTCCTGTGCTGTGTCTATTCAAGCAAAACTCCTCTTGGAGTCCCAGGGGTACTTGTATGCAGGGAGGCTTTGCCCAAGCGTTGTTCAGGATTTGGCCTTTAGACTGCTTTGGCTAACTACGGATGGGGTGGGAGTGGGAAGTGGTGCCCCAAGGACTTTACCTACCTGTTGGAAATGAGCCTTTACCGGGATATGTTGTATGTCCATTGCCTTTTTACTAACCAGCTGGTGCTCCTCCAGTGATCCTGGGAGAAATGATTGAAAAAGTAGGGCACTGACATGGTGGTTTGTAATTAAACTTTCCCAGGTCTGTCTCTCCACACGTTTTTACCTTCCTCTCCTTCTGACCTGGCAGCTGACTGGCACAACCAGAGTTGTTCTTGCCCAGCCTTTGATGAATCAAGTTCTCAGACATTTGTGCAATATATTTCCAAATCTTGGGCACCCTTGGAGAGGAAGGAAGCCTCCCATCTGCCACAGTTCTTAGCTTGTTTTTTAAAATAAACTTTAAAAAAAACCAATTCAGCACAGCTCCCCAACTCTGACTACTAATGTGGAAAAGTAAATTCACATTTTTGTAAGCTTCAAATCATGAATCCCAGAACTGGAAAACCAGCCTCAATTCTTAGATCCTTTTAAAATGTCAAGTGGTGAGTTATTTGTCCCTGAACAGTCATAGCAGACTGTGGCTCTGAAGTTGCATCACTTCCCTCTGCATCACTTTGAATTTCTCATGTCAGCAAAGCAGAAGCTGAAAATGAAGCACTGGGGCTTTTCCCTTGGTGAACTTGTGCAATAGGTGACCTCACCAAGGGGGGAGTCCTTGGGAACTTCCAAAAAAGCAAATTCCCTTTTCAAGGAAAAGGGATCTTGGTGCTTTTTGGAGCCCTCACTTAGCCTGCTAATATGAAAAGCCCATGATGAGAACTGCATCCAGGATGAGCAGTGTTTGCTTTGCTGGACTCCTTGGCTGGATGTGGAGTTTCCTGAAGGCTGGTACTTCCTTGGGTTTGTAATTTGTCATGATCAAGGCAGTCTTAGGATTTTTACCCCTCCCTTACTCTGTTCCCTCTCTCTTACCAGAAAAGTTTTTTTTTCAGGAACAACAGCCCACACCAAAGGAATACACTATAATTACTCTTTAACATACCCCCCACTTCCAGAACCAAAATAGCCAAGTCTCATTCTTCTTGTCCCTGGTGTGGAGGAGTCTAATGTTAAAGGCGTCTGTTTTTAGCTTCAAAACCAACCAAACTTGGGTATAATCCATTTCTCTCTTGTAGCTGGTTACATGTAAAAGCTGTGAATTAGTGTGCTCTGTTGCCTTCTGCCTACAAGCCTGATACTCGACTGCAGAGCTGAATGGTGTGTATTTTGAGACTGTATTTGAGGGGTTTCCTGTCACTTTTTTAACAAGCTGGACTGTTGAACGGGACCTGCTTTTTGTATTTGGTGAAAATGGTAGAAAGTTTGTACGCTACACTTGGAGGAGGGAGTGGATGGTTACTAATTGTATAGTAGTGTTTTTATATACAGAATGTACAGATCCTTTGACAGACGTATGGCTTTTGTTACTTTAATAAAAATGTAGCAGTATAAATGAGCCTTGTTTTCTTGCTGGGAACTCTGTTGTATGCTTGCAGAGAGGGTGAGGGTTGGGATCGCAGCCGAAAATCCCACGCTGCGAATGCTGTGGGCTTGGTTAAAGTGTGGCTGACTGTTAATATCCAGCTGTGTCAAGGAGGTGGTTTAGAAAAAAAAAAAGCTGCTTAGTCAACATGCTGACTCTAAACCTGACCCTCTAAACCTGAGGAATTAAGGCTGGGAATTGGTCTGATGACTAATGTGGAGCTGTGGGTGTCCTGCCCTCTCCTTCCCCGCTGACTACTGGCTCCTGGCTTGGGCAGTGGGGGATTTATTCAGTGCAGGATTGTAGAAATCCTGAGTCCTGCCAGGGCATGAAGGTGTTACGTAGTCGGCTGCTGGAGCTCTTGCCCAACCCTGGGAATGTACATGAAGTCTTGGAAAGAAGCGATTAATGATCCGAGTGAGGCGGGGGGGCAGTTCAGCCTCCCTGCCTCCGCTGTCCTTCCAGGTGTGAGCTGCTGGAGGAGGAAGGGTGAGAGATCACGGGATGGAAAGGCTCAGGTATGTGGAGGATGCTCTGGGTCTGTCATGATAAAGGCACCCGGGGTTGATTCACAGAAGATCCTGTTTTGTCTCTGAGAGGCTGGAGGTGACTGCAGCACGGCACCGTAACCCTGCTCCCTAGGATGGGGGTGTCCAGCTCCTGTGTTTAACCCCCATCTGCCCTCATCTTCGAGCTGACCTGATGTAAGGACCTGAGCTAAATCAGCCCGTGCTAGTTTCAGTCCAAAACTCTCTTTTTATGGAGTTAGGAGGGCTTGAGTTGTAGCCTGCCAGGGTCCCTGTAACCCCCCATCATTGTGCTCCTGCCGAGGTGATGCCAAGGGTGGTGGGGGGGGCACAGGCCTGGTCCCACCGCTCTCTCCCTGGTGAGAGCAAAGCAGCTTCCTCCCCTCCTGCTTTTATCATAACACGCCACCTCCCGAGAGGAAAACAATTTGTGGGCCGATTTTGGTGCCCTGTCAAAGCCGCTCCCTTTTGAACTCATCCCTTCATTAGTTTCCATAAACACACCCAAATTGCTGCTGCTTGTGAAACAGGGAGGAATGGGCATCCCATCCAGTTGCTGATTAGCTCGAGAGTCATCCAGGTTCAAAGGCTTCCTGAAGTCAGATGATGGCAGCCTTCCTCCCTCTGGCTTGTCCGGACCAGCGTGGTCTGCCTGGACCTGTGTGCCGTGGTCTGTGCCCCATTTTCAGGCTGCCATAGTCCGTGCCATGGCCAGCTTGGTGTGGTCCTGCGTGCCGTGGCCCACGGCCAGCGTTTGGGCCAGCAGGCAGAGCCAAGATCGTCTACAATTTTGAGTTGCTCACAGCCAAGATAAAAATACAGCTCTTACGCCATGGAGTGTTTAGTGAGGAGTCAGTGCTACCTGCGCTGCGAGCAGCTCCCCCCCGCCAGCCTTTTAATAGGTGACTCATCTACTATTTTTATTTTGCTTGTCATTTTTCTTCTGATAGGAGCGTGATAACTGGTGTACAAGCTGGGTTAGCTTTGCGGGTGCATCTTTATCTGCCCCCCACAAAACCCTTTCTAGGCCTCCTGATGCTGCGAGATCCCCGAGAGCGTCACAGGATCAGCTGGGGGGCTGTGGGAGTGTGGGGGCACAGCTGGAGAGTGCACTGGGGGCCCCGCTGCCCCCACGGGGTGCTTGAAGCGGCTCTGAAAAAGACCGACACTAACTAAACCATGCTGGTGTGCTCCTGCTCGCCTCCTCCCCTTGAACTCTGGACTTGTTTTCTGCTGAGTTTTGCTGAGTTTCTGTTGGGATTTTTTAATTCAGGCTGGGCAGCGAAGTGTCTGGTTCAAGGAGCCTGGGTCAAATGTCCTCTGTAATCAGAGATCGGTGCGTTGCTTAAATGAGCATGTGCCTTTGACGTGTCCTTGGTGAGAGCTCAGCCCTTTGCCTGCACACCTGCCTGCACCCCTGCCTGCTGCTGAGACGGGCTCTGCCAGCACAGCACAGTCCAGGACTTAAACCCAGAGAATGTCCTGCCTAGAAACAACTTATCCCCCCAAAAAAAACATTCTGCAGGGAGGAAGATGCTGGCTCGCAGAGGAAAACACACTCCTCCTGCCCCAGCGGTCTGGAGGGGTCTTTAATGGCTCTTTAGAGTAAAAAGGGGGGTGGGCTTTACTGTCCTGTCCCTGCACTGGTGCGAGGCGCCCCAGCCGTGTGCGTGCTGTAGCAGTGCTCTCAGTCCTTCCTCGCAGGAGCTGGGGCAGTTTTGGGGGAATGCAGATTGAGCAAAGCCCAAACCAGCCACGAGGAACACGCGGCACCAACCACCCCAGGAGAGGGTCCCCCCAGGTCCGTGAGGATATTTTGGTTAACTCGTGGCAAAACGTATGTTTGATTTCTTTTGTGTGCTCCTCTTTCCTGGGGTCCCTTTAGCAGAAATTTGGTTTTTTTTTCCTCAGTTCTAAGTTACCAGAAAAGCAACATCAGCACTGAGGATGCGAAACTGCTGGTTGGGGTTATTTGTGCCCTTCCCACAGACCAGTCTCGGTATTACTGTCCCTCCCTCGCAGTGCTTCTACCCGCTCTGCCCGCCCTGAAGCTGAGGGGAGAGCTGGGCCCCCTCAAAGCGTGGCAAATGGGACAGATTGCTCAGAAATGAGAAAAGGCAGCGGGAACGGGGATGGCACCGGGGCGGCCGCCGAGGCTCTGGGTTCCCAGGAGGGAGAGAAGCGAACCCGGGCGCCGCTGAGCCTCCTCCCTGCACCGCCACGTTCGCGCAGGCCTCGGCCTCTGCCAGGTGCTTCCTGCCCTCTTTGTTTGCCGACGGGGCGATGGGAAGCGACCGGCTATTTCGGTTTGGCCGAGGCCAATCGGGTGCAGCCACGCTCGCCTGTATCTGGGGAGACGCAGCCGGCAGCGCCCAGCTCTGGGAAAAGGGGGAGGTGTGGGCCCCGGGGTTCTCCATCGCCTGCGGAGCTCCGCAGCCTGGATGAGCTTCCCAGGATCTGCCGGAGCAACTTTGCAATCACGTGGCCTGGCAACGGGAAGATGGTTTGTGGGGTTCGGAGGGGTTGGTGCTGTGCCAAGCCCGCGGTGCTTTGGGTTGCAGCCCTCCGGCAGGCTCTGGCGTTGCTGCTGCTTGCACCAGCAGTCTCCAGCATCGCCGTGGTTCTCACCAGCTCACGCTGGCATTGCCGGGGTTTGTTGCCGTGCTGGAGCCCCCACACAAGCTCTGCCTCCAGCTCTGCACCCCAAAGGGCTGAGCCAAGCCCTTCCCCGAGCCCCCAGGGCATGGGCAGGCAGCAGGTCCCGGGTCTGCCTTGGCATGTGGGCTACTGGGGGGTTCTGTCCCTTGGCTGGGACAGCAGAGGGATTCCTGGCTGGGGACTGTGCTCCCTGCCTGCCCTTCCTCCTGACAGACCTTTCTCTTCCTCCTCTTCCCTCATCCAGCACTCCGGCCTCCCTTTACATCTGCACAGCAGCCATGGCCAGACCTTGAGCTCCCCCCAGCCCTGACTCATCTTATCTCCACTTCTCCGAGTCCCCCCAACAGCTTCACACGCCGCTGGGGACCCTGAACCAGCGCCAAGGGCAAGGCACCGCTCTGCCTTTCCAATCCTTGCTAAAAACTGAACCACCTGGTGGAAAAAAACAAAAAAAAACAAAAAAAAAAACCCCAAACCAACAACCCTCCTTCCTCCCAAAAGGTCATGGTCAGATGCGAGCGCGTGTGCCGCAGCCGCCGCACGCCCACTTGCCTCCCCCCACACGGCGCAGTAACCGTCTCGGCGCTCGCGGCTCGCTGTGCTTGGAGGGACTCCAGCAGCAGATGGGGCAGGCTGCGGCGTTGCTTAATGCTAGCTTGAAATGAAAAAAAATTCCTCCCCCCCACCCCAAACAACCGCAGAACCTGCTGGCAGGCTCAGCCCCAGCCCTGTCTCCATTCCCTGCCTGCTCGCTTCCTTCCGTGCCAGCTTTTGGGCCGGAGCACAGAGAGCAGGTCCTGTGCAGACTTTGGGTTTATTAAAAATTAAAGCAGGGAGGGAGAGGGGAAGGGGAGCGGGGGGTCCCCAAGAGTGGGCACATCCCATGGCCCTGGGAAGGGTCAACCCCCAATCGAGGCGAACGGTTCGAATGGGACACAAGTGGGGTCTGGAGAGGGACAGCCCACCCTGTCCCCCCCTTGTCCCCCTATTCCTGGGGTGGCACCGAGGGGCTCAGGGGTCTGTGGGCAACTCACCCCGGGCCACCCCCCTGCTACAAGGGGCTCCCAAGGCTGAGACAGATGGGCAGGGGGAGAGGAGCCACTTTCAGCTGCTCTGTTTTGTTTTCCACGGAGCATCCCATGGGGCCAGAGCCATCCCCATCCCCGGCCCCATCACAGCCCCCTCCGCAGCGGCTGCTCCCCTGCGCCAGGGCTGGCTCCAACGCTCTCATTTACGACCCGTTGGGGGATAAAAGGAGCTTGTTGGCGGCGGCGAGCAACTGGTGTGCGGGGACAACTGTTGCCATCTGTCTGGTGGGGCGGTGGGGGGGCCACAGCGGGGCTGGGGCCGAGCCGGGGCCGGGGTTTTTGTTTCTCCTTTCATGCACCACTAAACTTTGCACCTTTTGTTTCCCAGAGAAGGGCTGAGAGCCGGGGAGAAAAGAGGCCTCTGCGCCTCACGGGTCAGGGCAGAGCTCGCTCAGCTCGCCGGGGGGGTTGCATACGATTCTTATTAAATATTATAATAGTAATTATTGTTAGTTGAGGAGTCTGTCGGTGTTGGGTAACGTGGTACTGAACCCCCTCCATCCTCCCCCCGCCACGCCGCCCCCGTGCCGCACCCAGCGGGGTGCCCTGACATGTCCTGAGCTGCAGCAGGGAGAAGCCAACAGCTGCTGGTGCTGGCGGGGTGCAGCCCTCGGGGACCCGGGGCTGTGTGGCCTTGGAGTGACACCCTGCGGGGTGCTGTGCCCTTGTCGCCAAGGGATGCGGTGGCAATGTCACT